TTTTTTTTTCCTGGTGGCTTGAGGGATTAACCCAGGGTTTTCCCTTTTAGCTACTTCCTGTTTTGAGTCAGGGTCATTAAGTTGTCCAGGTCAGGTTGAATTTGTGATTCTTTTCCCTCCCAGAGTGCTGGGATTATAGGCATATGCCACCACACTCCGCATAAGTGTGTTATATGTTGGGCTATTTTTTTAAAAAAATCTTTTAAGAGACACTTACTAAAATAGTTAAAACATTAACTAACATAGTTAAAGATTAGCTGATAAACTGTCTTGGGTGTACTTCAAAATACCTAGTTATGGCAGAAGAAAAATATGGGTGAGAGTATAAGGTAAGGTTGGCCATATGGTAAAAAATGTTCAAGTGAGATGATGAACGCACGAGTTAGGGTTGAGTACCTCTTCTCCTCACCCTGGTGCTGAGCTTGAGATCTCTTCTCTGGTCTGACTTGGGTTTTATATTTGAGGTAGATTTGGTTTTTGTCATGTTTTGATTTGGTTTGGTTTGCTTTCGTTTGGTTTTCTGACAATTCAAACACCATATTAAGATATCTTAGGGATGGGACCAAGTCTAACCACAGGGTATACTTATGTTTCTTCAATTTTTTTTTTCAAGCTACAACTATACACATAGCTTGAAAGTAAATGTATACAATGTTTTTAGTGTGCCTATGTTCGATTACAACCCAGCACATGAGGGTAGGTGTGGAATTCCCCACTTTTATCATCACATCAGTGCTCAAAGGATTTCAGATTTGGTATCACTTCCAGTTTTTGATATTAAAGATGTTCACCCTATACTATTCCTTTTCATTGTTTTTAATAAGTTTGAAATTTTCCGTAAAATGTATTTAATAAAATAAATTTTACTTTGTTTATATATAATTTAGTGTGTGCTTGCATATGCATAGAAAACATCTTTTTTAATTTTTTATTTTAATTTTGAGAAACAAATATGAATGAGACATTTTCAAAGCTGATTAATAGGACAGTTTCAATAATCAATACATTGTACATTGTTATCTTCTTAGTGGTTATCCATAGTACAAGAAGCAGACAGGATATCCTGTCCAAACACTGTTAGTATACCTCTTTCTTTTTGTTGAATTAAGTGAAAGTAGCTATATATCTATCCTAACTATTTTGTATATATAAATACAAAATGATCTTTCCTTTGTATCCCCTTTTTTTTTGTTTAGTCCTATCAGAGATGGATATTCTATTGGCATCTAAATACTATAGGTGGGACTGGTGAGATGGCTCAGTGGCCTAAAGCACCTACTTAGAACAAGCTTGGCAGAGCACAGTGACCGCAGTTCAATCCCCCAGCACCACATGCCAGCCAGCCACACCCCCTGGTGGGCTGAGCTGGCCACACACACACACACAAATAAATGAATAAAATTTTTTTAAAAAGTTTAAATACTATAGGTGTTTGAATTGAGCAAAACAATCCAACATTGTCTAGCAGTCTATAATATTAGTGGGTTATCCTCAGAAGTTACTGACTTGAGCCTTTTACAGCTCATCGTATTAATATGGCTTCACTGTAATTGTTTTTATACTTTTCTGCTGGATGGTTAAGACCAAGATAAAGCAAGACCTATATAACAAGAAATGTAACTTTGTATCTGATAAGGTCCATCAAGCCCCCTCAGGATTTATCCTGTAGCCCTATACTGCACTTTGTAGATCCTTTGTCAGTGTCAGCCAGGAGGATGAGTCACGGCCATTGCTTTACCAATTTGCTCTCTGTGAAAGCCTGAGAGAATGTTTTTCTCTCCATGTGACTCTCCCTAGACACACTATACATCATCGATCACATTCCTCTGTGGCTTGATAATCTCCTTGATCAGAAAATTGGAAGCACAACTGAATTACATGATGTAACAGTACAGGTTCTCCTGTGTTCCGAGTCTTCACTGACATTGAGAAGCTAGGGCCAAAATGTTGGCTGACCTTGCAGCCCTTCCTTTTCTCCAATTTTGAACTGCTAACTTAGTTTGTTAACCCTCCAGAAGAGAAGCTTATTATTAACCTGCAACATATGCAGTTTGGTTTACTCTATCTGTCTAAATATCAAACATCTTTGGCATATAATAGAACAGGTATTTTCCATGAAATAGTGATATGTTGAACCTTAAGTTCTTACAGAATATGAAGGAAAAATAAATTTAAAAAACTAGAAATAAGCATTTACATGTTTTTATAAAGAAATTTAGAAATTAACCATATGCAGAATTGTAACAGGACAGACCTGTGACTTTTTTTTTCTTATTGTGTCTTTTTTTTTTTCATTTATTACCCCTTTAAAAAAAAAAAACTTGAGAGACAATATGACAGTAGAAAACATCTCAACTGATGAACATCAGTGTGTTAATTGTAGCCATGTCAGGACTGTGATGAGAGTTTGGAACTTTTTTTTTACGGTATTGGGGATCAAACTTGGGACCTTGCACTTGCCAGGCAGGCGCTTATGTTGCTGAGTTATATCCGTAGCCCTGGAACTACTTTTATTCTTTTCTTTCTTTCTTTCTTCATTGTTTCTTTTTTTTTTTTTT